AAACCTTTTAACCTACAAAAAGCCTTGTAAAACACTTTAAAAACCATTGTAAAAACCTTAAAACCTCCTTATAGAAATAACATCATAAATCTTTTAAAGCCTTTGAAAACCCTTATAAAACACTTGTATTAACCTATAAAAACTCTTGTAAAAACCTTTTAACCTACAAAAACCCTTGTAAAACCCTTTAAAAAACTTTAAAAAACCTTGTAAAACCTTATAAAACTCTTGTAAAAACCTTTTAACCTACAAAAAGCCTTGTAAAACACTTTAAAAACACTTGTTAATCTCTATTAAAACCATCATAAAACCCTTGTAAAAACGTATTAAATCTATAAAAACCCTTGTAAAACCCTTTAAAAAACTTTAAAAACCATTGTAAAAACCTTAAAACCTTCTTATAGAAATAACATCATAAATCTTTTAAAGCCTTGTAAAACCCTTATAAAACACTTGTATTAACCTATAAAAACTCTTGTAAAAACCTTTTAACCTACAAAAACCCTTGTAAAACCCTATAAAACACTTTAAAACCTCTTGTAAAACCCTTATAAAAATCTTGTAAAAACGTATTAACCTATAAAAACCCTTGTAAAACCCTTTATAACACTTTGAAACAAGCTGGATATAAATTGCAATAGTTAACAATATTCTTCATCTAATAAACTGTTCCATAAACACATTCGTTATCACTGTTTTACAAAATAACATACTGGTTTAAAAAGATAACTACAATAAGAAAGGAACTTATGTTAACTACATTCTTTCACACTTGCTTTTTCCTGATGTAGATATCCCATTGTTGCTGCAAAATAAATTAATAAAAAAGCAATAAGTAACGATTCAACATAAAAAAATTGTTTTCGCATTTATTTTGAAAAACTGTTTTAAACTAACCTTTATTACGCTGAAAAGTCTTGTTGCCAGATACTTCTGTTCGGCGCTAGCTCCATGTTGTTTGTCTGGATGTAAAGCAAGCAGTGCTTTACGTTTTGCTAAACCTATCTCATTGTCATTGTTTACCAAATTGAAGTGATGAACAGTCTCCCATGAACTATTGGACCAAATAATCTGTAATGTATAATAAATTTCGTTAGTTTTTGTAGTTATGAGAAAAATAACAAATTATTATAAGATTACCTGGTGAAGTGATGACATCATAAAAATGAAGTTCTTGTTTTTAGCCCAGAGTATGACCCTATCATCAATTTCCTTCTGTTGTATCTCACTTAGTTTTCGATCTTGGACAGTAAATGACACCATGAAAATATTAGATGTTCCATTTTATTATTAAAAAAAACATCATTTTTAACAAAAAAAAATAATGGTGTACCTGAATGTTCCTTCTTTAGCCGAGCTTCTTCTTCCTAGAGAAATAAATTAGCAAAACACAGAAGACCATGAAAACGTCTTATTATAATCATTTAAATACGTACTAAAACCTTGTAAAAAACGTTGTAAAATAATTTTGTAAATTATTATGATTTAACTAATGCATACCTTATCATTCACTTTCGATTGTTGTGAATCACTCTCTTGTGACGGCTCCTCTGAGTGTCCCATCTTGTTATGTTGTGCCTCCTTTGTTTGAGCAACCTATAAATAAGTTGTAGAAACATTTGTCAACCTATAAATAAGTTGTAAAATCCTTTAAAAAATGTTGTAAACATTACAAAAAACTTTTTTCATTAATGCATACCTTATCATTCACATTTGATCGTTGTGAATCACTTTCTTGAGTTCCCTGTGGAGCCCCATCCATGTTTCTCATCTCTTCATGTTGTTTCTCCTTTTTTTGAGAAACCTATAAATAGTTTAAAATAGGTTGTAAATTTTTTATAGAAACTTTTAAATAAGTTGTAAAATCCTTTAAAAACGTTGTAAATCTCTTCTAAAGCATACCTTATCATTGACATTCGAGCATTGTGGATCGTTTTCTTCATTAGCATGTGGAACCTCATCCGTGGCTCCCTCTTCTTGAGCAACCTATAAATTTAAAAGACATTTTAAATCACTAAAGATATTCTTTATAAAAACCAATCAGATTCATTTAGTTACATACCTTTTCATCATTCACATTTTCGTGTGAATCTTCATCAGGTGGACTGCATGATTCTTCTCTGGTCTCTGTTTGTTTGTTTTCTTGATTGTTGATTGGTATTTCAACCTCTTCTTCATCATCAGAGACAATTATAAACTCTTCTTCAGTCTTTTTGTTCTGTTGTAACACCAAAAATATATTTAAACATAATCAAATTTGACCATCCTATAGATCAAAGATATATTTAAAAAGATATCGTTTTGTTTCCACTTACAACTCCACTTGACGAAGCTGGGAATTCCTTTTCTTCATCATCCCTGGCATCAGGTTCTTTGATCCCTAAATGTTTCTCCACCACCAACATTCTCTTGTTCAATTCTAAACATGCCTTGTAGATCAATTCTAGTGTTTCACTATCAGACATTGATTTCCTTGGTTTTGTCTGATTTACAGTCTCAGACTTTGGTTGCCTTTGTCTAGGCTGATTCACAGGCTTTTGCGTTTTCCATTCTGCAACCTCAATCCAACCATGAATCCATTGTTGCCTGGTCATCCTATAACCTTGGACTACAAGGTCAAAGACTTCAAACCAGTCCTTGTCTTCTGGATTTGGGGGGAGAACAAAATGAGAATATTGTTCAGGATCGCCAATGATATGTTTAATATCAAACTGCATAAAAAAGAATATGAATTTAAGTTAGAAATGTGAACCACAATTATTTCATAAAGCATTTACTATCTATTTTAAAGGTTTTACAATCTGTATTAAAGCTTGTAAAAACTTTTAAAATGTCTTGTAAAACCTTTAAAAATGTCTTGTAAAAATCTTGCCATTTTTTTAAAACCCTTGTAAACTTCTTAAAATTCTTGTATAACAAAGTAAAACAATTGTAAACCTTATTAGTTGGAAAAAAGTAGTAGAGAAAAACTGTCATACCGTTGCAACCTTTGTAACTTTTGCTATATCTTTCTTAGTTGGGCATTTTGTTGTCATCCATTGCGAAATCAGTGGACGATTGTCGTTGGGTTCTAGGACCCGACTGCCAAAATTCTGTCCCAACTCTGCAACTGCGGTTAAAGCCCAAATCTGGATTGCAAAAACAAACCCAGGAAGCCCACATTGGTTTCTAAACAATTGAGTCGGAGTTATCTTCTTCAAGCAATCCACCAAAGACCCGTAAACAATGCGAGCCCACGGATACTTGCAGAACTCTGTGAAACTACTAGCTCTTACCAGATGTTCTTTCTCTATATTGTTTACAGGGTTTGAAGCAATTAAGATGCCCTCCACTAGAATCAGAGCACCTAACCTAACCCTCTCATCAGCATCCATCTCATTGCGTTTTGTAGACAAGGTATTAAGGAGATCTTTCAAACTTAAACCATCCTTCATCCATGTATCTTCTTTCTTTCTCTTTTTTCGTATTGACTGGCTTTGTGATGCATCATCACCCAAAGGCAGCCCTGTAGTAATAACAAACTCCCTCAGAGAAAATCTGAGGGGTTGTTCTGAGAAGACAAACCACAACTCCTCATTGTTAACCATTATTCTTCTCTGAAGAAAGTGATGGACCAGCTGTGATGAGAAACAGATCCCTTCACGTTCCGCAAAATCTATGATTGGTCCCAAGAAAGAATTCTGAATCCGATTGAACTCAGTGGGACTAAGTGAATCCTTGACAACATTCAATACAAGTTTCTCTGAAGAATACTTTGATATTCTTTTCAAATTATCCACCTCATTCCCTGGGTCAATCAGTCTTTTTGGGAGAAACAGCCTCTTTGTAGGTTGACTCATTTTTCACTCTGTTGCAGGAAAGATAGAAAAACAATTAAAACATCTCCATCAAAAAGCATTCTCAAAAAAATCAAACCATTTACAACCCCTTTGTAAGCTTTTAAACTGCTTGTAAAACAGCTTTAAGAAGCTTTAAAACGCATGTAAAATTAAATCATGTAAACGAACAACTCTAGAAATGCAAATAGAGTAGTACATTGCAAACATCATTACCTACTTGGAAGCTTTGTGAAAAGTGAAAAGTCTCATCAATACTCAAACACATTCTCAAAGAATCAAACCATTTAGATCCCTTTTGAAAACCATTTAAATTGCTTGTAAAATCGATTGTAAAAGATTTTAAAACAAAGGTAAAATTAATTGAATTTCTATAGTCCTTTTAAGTCCTTGTAAGAATAAAAACGGATCTACAAAAAAAAAATCACAAAATCTCAAAAATCATCCAATATCACAAAAACTCGATTTTGAAGGGGAAATAACCTAATTTGGCATATGAATCAAAAAAGTAACGAAGTTTTAAAGTAATTTAACCGTAAAATCGACTGATGTGACGGAACCCAAAACCCTAGGCAGATGAAATCGAAGAAGCCGAAAAGTCGAGATTGAACCTTATGAAAACGGAGAAGACGAGATTGAACCTTATGAAAACGGAGAAGCCGAGATGGAACCAAAACTGTAGAATCTAAAGCCGTGAAGCTAAGCGAAAACCCTTAATTTATTCTTCTTGTACTCAACGGAGAAGGAGACTGAGAGAATCGGTTTTTTTTCCCCCTTCTATTTTTTTTTCTCTATCAAATGGGTTTTAAAGTGTTTTAAAGGTTTTTTCTTTTTTATTTCGGCCCAACTATTTACAACTATCTTATTCTTAGTTCGATTAAAAACAGGTTGTAAAACTATTTTAAAACACGTTATAAACTTTTAAAACACATTGTAAATCTTTGAAAAATATATTATAAAACTAAAATTACCTTGCAAAATTTTGAAAAATCTTTTAAAAACTTGAAAATACTTTGTAAAACAATTGTAAATTTAAAGAATCATGAAAAATTTGATAAAAATATAAATAAGATGGTTTTATTTTCATAAGCTTATAAATATTGTAAAAATTTTAAAAGTTCTTTCTATATATAATCATATACATTGTAAAAACATTAAAATGGTATAGATGAAGACTTAACATTGTAAAATGTTTAGATAGCTTTTAAAAATTAACATCAAAAGATAAAATGGTATAAATGAAGATTGGATGTTATAGATGCAGGTACATAGAAAAAAAAACTTAAATTCACAACTAGAGAGTTATACAAAGTAAAATTCATGCGAAAATCACTACAGATATTCTCAGCAAAAATTAAAAATTTGTAAAACAGCAACGTTTTCTTCAAAAAGAATAGATCATTTTTCCCCAGCAATCTTTTCTTCCCAGCTCTTACAATTAGCCCCTGATCAAAGTAATAAATCAAGAAATATAAGCTTAGTTGTAGGTTTTTAATTTACATGTTAAAACCTGAGAGAAGTCTTACCTAGAAATCTGTTATTTCTGTAAAGATGTCAACCGCAAGTTTCTTTCTCATGTCTCCAATTTTTCCTTCTGAAAGTTTCTCATTTGCATTAATATGCATAGCATAGCATTCCATCATCTTCATCATGTACATCCCAGTATCTTCAATCTTTTCAGCCTAGCATCAAAAACAAAAAAAGACATATAAAAAAGGTTTTAATGAATACAATCTACAATCTCAGTTATCACAAAAATTACCTGTGATATATTGTCCACTACAGATATTTTGAATGCTGAAACATCCATATCTGTTTTGTTGAGGAGCTTGCGCAATATGTACGGCATCGCAACAGAATATGCAACCACATGCATCCTTTTAACATTTTCTGAAACAAATGATGTCGCGTAATCGAGAATGATCAAAGACCTTCTCTCGATATTAATCACTACTGGAACCCAACATTTTCCTTTCAAGCACATAGGAGCATATATGTAATTTGTCTTGCTTCCAATCTCCAGCTTACTTATCTCTTCAGAACTAAACTGAAAATCATCTTTTGCGACTACAAACTCAGCATACTCATCGTCAATCGCATTTAAGAAAGATGATCCAACAAAAACAACAGTTTTGTTAAGGTACATTTCTGGATGATTTTCCCTTCTAGTTTTGATCAAGTGTAAAGCTGCATCAACATGCTAAGAAAAACACACACAAAAAGGAAAACAAATTACTCATGTTTGCTAGTCTATATGAACTTTATAATTTACAATGGTTTTTTAAAGTTTTACAAGATTAGAATACTTGAAAGAAAATCATACATACCGATCCTGATATTGGTTTCCCCTGCGTTTCTAGTGTTGTGAACCATTTGGAATCTACTTTGATTCCCCCAACTGTTAGCACCCTACAACAAATATATATATATAATTATAAGAACATCCAATGAGTCAATGTAACATCCAATGAGGCAATGTAAAATCTTTAAAATACGTTGTAAAATCATTTTAAAATACATTGTAAAAGTCAGAGATGATGTAAAACCTTTAAAATACGTTATGAATATTATTATGAGTTTTACAAACTTAAAACTCACTTGTTTTTTGTCGACTTCTTCCATTCACATAAACTTTCAAACCTTTTTGTGTCAACTTTTGCAAAGGGGTGAAGTGTTGGGTGCTTCTTCTTCTCTGCCGTGTAAGGTGGCTGAGAATAAATGGAAGGCACTTGACTTCGCTGGCTTCTTCTTGATGGACCATCAGCTTTTGATTTATTATCTACATCTTGTTGACTAGTTTTTAGTGGAACATCATTATCAGCTTTATCCCCTAATTCTTGATCACATGTTCTTGTTCCAAGATCAGCAGCAACTTTGTCAGTATTTTTGCATTTTTTTCTCTGAGGCTGCAAACAAAAAAAAACAAAAATAACACTTATAAAAACAACTTGTAAAAATTTCAAACAATGCCACGAATACTCAGTAATAAAAGACATTACAATTTGTAAAACTTGTAATGTCTTTGCTTATATATGTACAAAAGAAATGCAACAATGCATTCCTTGTGAAATTAGTTTATAAAAACGAACAGATTGTTTTACAAAATTGAATTCTTACCTGTTTTCTTGTAGGAATATCATTATAAGAATTATCCCCTTGTTTACGCTTATTTGTCTGCAGGTGAAAAAAGTAAAAAAAAAGTCCCCTGTAAGTACTTTGAATATATTTCATTATAAACATTTCATTATAAACATTTAAAACATATCTCTAAATTGACCTTCATTTTGTAAGAAATCTTCTTTTATAATATTGAATACTAACCTCTTTTCTTTCTCTGACATATCTCTTCTTTCTACAGTACTTCTTACTTTCAGAACTTTTCTTACATGCCTCATTGTTTGTTTCAGAAACTGAAATTCCTTCCTTCTCGTTATCCTGACTATCTTCAGAGATAATATTGAAATTTGGAGTAGAGAAATTTGGGGTAGGGGTTTTATCCTATAAAAGTGTTTAAAACCATAGGATTAGTACCAAAAATGATTCTCAGATAATAATGAAATTTGGAGTAGAGAAATTTAGGGTAGGGGTTTTCAAAAAGTTGTTACACTTATAAGATCTATATAAAATCTTTTTAAAACCCTTGTAAAACCCTTTAAAACCCTTTAAAACCACTTGTAAAATCCTTTAAAACCACTTGTAAAACCCTTTAAAACCCTTTAAAACCCTTTAAAACCACTTGTAAAACCCTTTAAAACCCTTTAAAACCACTTGTAAAATCCTTATAAAACCCTTGTAAAACATATTAACCCTTGTAAAATCTTTTTAAAACCCTTGTAAAACCCTTTAAAACCCTTTAAAACCACTTGTAAAACCCTTTAAAACCCTTTAAAACCCTTTAAAACCACTTGTAAAATCCTTATAAAACCCTTGTAAAACATATTAACCCTTGTAAAACCGTTTAAAACACTTTAAAACCTCTTGTAAAACCATAGGATTAGTACCAAAAATGATACTCAGATATCAAGGACTTTTTAAACAAAAGTAGATCAATATACCTTTGCTGTAGGTTCAGCTGTATCATCTTCAGAACGAATCTTCTGGCTGTTTTCATCATCTCCAGCATAGCTCCCGTCCTCTGTGTTAGGCTCACGAATGGAATCTTCAAATGTACTAGGACCACATTCATCATCTTCTTTGTTATCACCATCGACATCAATTTCACCATCTCTACTTGGACCACATTCATCACCTTCTCTGCTATCACCATCAACACCAATATCACCATCTATATTGGGACAAGCTTTGTCAGACTGCTACAGAATCAAAACAATCATATTCAGTAAACAAAAAACAATATGTAACAAAAAAGTTTGGTTCAAGAGGTGTGTGTGTGAACAGTTAAGAACTTTTTAAAAACTTTGGTTCAAGAGAGTGTTGCCCAGCTATGGATCCTATAATAATAATAATACTTAACGGATCAGAAAAAGTTTGAATACCTTTGTAAGAACTTTTTAAAAAACCTTGTAAATTATTTAAGATGAGTTATAAAAACATTCTGAATACTTGTAAAAAGCTATCCGAATTTTGATTGAAAAGGATTTAATAAAATTATTCACATACCTCTTCTGTTCTGGCACATGTTTCTTCTTGTATATCAGACTGCAGAAAAAAGGATACAGATATCTTAATATATACTATATACACATGTAACTGACAAAAAAAAAAAAAAAAAAAATCCCATTTAGTTACCTCTTTTTTTTTGCATCTCTCAGTCTCATCTTTTTCAAAACGGCTTTTAAGAACATACTCTATTACTGCAATCCTCCTGTTGAAGTCTTGAAGTAAATTTAGGATCTTGTCGAGTTTCTGGCTGTCAGACAAGTTGTTATTCATTGATTGTTCCCCTATTTCTTGTAATACAGTAAAAATATCAACAAATCCAGCACTCCAATCAGTTGCTTTGAGCCTGTATCCATTTTGAACAAGACGAACAATTTCTTCGAAGTCTATGTCGTCTTCATGCGAACTAGCAACTAAATAGCTATATTCGTACGGGTTTCCAATCACTGTATTAACCTTGACCTGGCAAAAGAAAAGAACTTGTAAAACCTTTAAAAACTCTTGTAAAAATATGATATATGTTGAACATCAATCTTAAAACTAAGGCAATTAAAAGAGGGGATTCCACACTTACTGAGTTCATTTTTTTGACGACATCGACAACATGAGAAAATCTTGGTGTTTGAGTTGTTTCCCATTTCAAACACAAAGGATACTCAGATCTCGATGTAACACATTCTGTTGCAAACGCTGAGCCCAAAGATGGAACTGCGCTGAAGGCCCATAGTAGTATCGCCATTGCAAATCCCTTTACTTCATATGTGCCTCTTGCCCAAGTATTCTCATTTATCCGTTGGATGCTTGTAGCAAGAACTCTATATGCATGCTTGCCCCACGGTTGAGATGTGTAGATTGAGAATTCTGAAGCATGTACCAGTCTAGACAAAGGGATTTTCTCCAACGAACCTGGTGTAAAGAGAAAGGCTTCTGTCAAAATTACCATACCTAGACTCAGTTTCTCTTCAGCATCCAGCGGATGCAGCTGATTTGGTTCAAACAAACGTTTTTGGAGTTGTTCCAGCGTAAAATGCTCTTTCTGAGTCCAGAAATATGGAGCTTTTGATGGAGCTTTGCCTTTTCGAAGCATTTCACTATCAATCAGGTCACACTGAACACCTGTAAGTGAATACAAATTTGATATTAGAGTTTTATAAAAACTTGTAAAACACATTGTTAAATGTTTTTAAATACATTGTAAAACTTTTAAAACACATTGTAAATTGATTAAAAACTTACAAAACAAAACTAATTTAGATATACCTGTGGTAAGCAAGAATTCTCTCTCTGAGAATCGCATTGGCTGGGAGTCAAATGTGAACCAGAGATTCTTCTCCTTTAAAAGCAACCTTCGCTGCATCAAGAAGTGGAAAATCTTCCCCGAAAAATTAACTCCACTTCTTTTTGCTAGTTCAATAATAGGACCAAGGAAAGAGGCTTTAATTAGATTAAACTGTTCCTCCCCTAGTGCGAGCTCAACTTTTTTGACCAAATGCGTTTCGAAATGTTGAATAACAACAGCTCCAATGTTTGGTTCAAACCCGGGATTATATATACGGGGCGGTAGGTTAAGCACATCCAATGAGTCATTGTTAGACATCTGCGTAAAAACCAAGCATAAAAACCATATCAAGAATGTAAAACATTTAAAACGGTTGTAAAATACAGAAAAGGAATAATTCAGCATTTAAGACCTTTTTAAACGGTTGTAAATTACAGCAAATGAATAATTCAGCATTAATAACGAACCTTTAAAAAATGTTGTAAAATCCACAGTTAACGATTATAAAATCAAGAAATGGAATAAATCAGAGAGGATATACCCTAAATCAAGCATTAAGAAGCATTTACAAGTTAAGAACGAACCTTTAAAAATGTTGTAAAATCTACAGTTCAAAATCAAGCAGTCAAATCAAGCGTTATCAGTCAATAATGAGATAAAAAAAGCTTCAAGAAGACCAAACTTTCACAGAAACACAGAATCTAAACCACAGAATCAAACCACAGAATCTAACTTCCAAAAGACAAACCTTTCAAAAAAGCTTCTAAAACATAGTGAGGAATCTAACCTGGAATCGATGTAGGACAGATCGAAATAAAACACAGACGGAGACGGAGACGCTGAGAAATCAAAATCGAACAAAAAGATGTTAACGCCGATCGAAATCGAACAGATCAAATCGAAAACGAACAACGAGATTTTACCACCGATAGAAAGCGAAATCGAAAGGAGACGCCGATTTGATATGGAATCGAGATAACGGAATCGAGATCGGAAAATCGTCGCCGATCGAAATGAGAGAAAGAGAGAGAATGGTTGAGAGAACCGTGCAGATCTTAGGTTATGAAAGCAAGGGTACTTTGGTCATATTTGAATTAATTAAGGGGTATTTTTAAAAATGGCAAGCAAAAAGGGGCAATGTTAAAAAAGGGTGTGTGAAACAGGGCATTATTAACAATTTCTCTATAAAATAACATATATACAGTTCAAAAACAAAAATTAAGAGTTTAGGGAATAGTCTTTAGGGTATAGAATTTAGGGTTTAGGGTATAGAATTATGTTAGTAGCTAATAATAAATACTTAATTATAACATAAATAATTAATTATAATATAGTAATTATATAAATAGTAAATAGATACATTTAAAAAACAACAATTTAAGAGTTTAGGGTATAGGGTATAGGGTTTAGGGTATAGAGTTTAGAGTTTAGGTTTATGATAGTTTTCAATAGTAGCTAATACTAATTTTATAAAAAAATAACATATGTAGTTATAATTCAATAAGTTTATTGATTATAACAAATATTATTATGTTTCAACAATTTGATTTACACAATAAGAAGATTAGTGTACATGTTTTCTTAGGTAACAATATGGAATACCATAAAAATTTCTAAAAACGTTTCAAATATTTTTAATCAATTTTTTTAAAATATAAAAAATTTAAATAACTCATAAACACATTAATCTGTCAATATATAATTTTTTAAAAAATTTTAAAATTGCAAAATGGCATGTAAAACATATTTTTATGTCTTCAAATAAAATAACCACTTATAATTATTCACTTGGATCGATGACGTGGCGAAATCTCAGCCGTTCCTCATGACATCTGAATCTCTTGTTGAAGCTTTCATAAACGATCCAATCAATATGCATCACTCGGATACATGACGTGGCGATATCTAAGCCTTTGATCAGCCCGTTTCATCTCATTCTTTCATCTCATTCTTTTAAATCAGAATTATTATTTTTATTTGTCAACAGAAGAAACGAGAGAGTTAGGTCTTATTCGTTTCATCTCTATTCAGCCTCCAAATTTTCTGATTCTTTCCTCTAAATTTCAACTTTATTCAGCCTCCAAAATAAAGATCCAGTTTCCTCCAACCGTTCTCGCATCCGACGAGGATTCTCTTTCTTTCCTCCAACCGTTCATTTGCCTTCGAAACTTCAAGATCTGTAACCAAAGCTTCTCCCTTTTTCCTCATATTTAGATTAATCAATTCTTAAATTGATTAATTTCGTTGTTGTTCCAGGTAATAGAAGATCTGCGTTCAGATAATCAATCTCCAGGTAGTACCCTCTTCATCCTTTCGGATAATTTTTATTGTTTGAGTTACGTTCTTTGATTCTTTGGATTAAGTTTGATTAGAAGCATAGTGATAACATGCGACTGAATGATCCGACTGAATTTGTTAAATTTGTTAAATTTGGTTCTCTGAATGCTTAGGTTGAATGATTGATTAAGATCCGACTGAATGCTTAGGTTGAATGATTGATTAAGGTTTCATTGATTCTCTTTTGTGTATCGGTTGTATGATTCTCTTCTGCATAAGGGTTTTGTTCATTGCATAAGTGTTTGGAGACCTAATTCAGAAGTTATAATTGTAACCTGCATTGTTATTGCATAAGTGTCTTCAAACTTGCATTGTTATTGCATTTTACGGTTTTGTTCCTTGCATAAGTGTTTTGTCTCCATAGCGTGTATTATGCATTCTTATTGTTTGGATTAGCCCGAAAATGGTGAATGTAAAATAATTTAAGATGCTGTCTTTATTTCTCTTGTCGACCAGGTTAGAGTGATGAGCTAGTCATGCATCATGGACACAACTTGAAAGGTTTTGCTTTTCTTAACTCATTCTCATTCAAAACAATTAATCAGAAAGTTATTTGACATTAACATCTTCAGTTTCTAACAGGAATAGGGCTAATGATATGGGCTTAAAGACAAATCATCGAAGTCTTGGAGGTTAGGGCTAATGATATGGGCTTAAAGACAAATTAGTTATAGGGCCTATTTAGACCCAATTAATATCTTGTACTTTTTGATTTTGTTTTTTATTTAGGCCCATCAAAACAAGATTTAATATCAAATTATTGCAAATTCTGATTTTTGTATTCTATATCTTTCTACTTCAAACAAAATAAAACTAGAGTGCAATAATTTGTACAAATACTGTATTTCCAAAAAAATCATACTATATATTACACATCTCATACATATACGTATGATCATTACGTATGTTTAAATGTATAATACATGTATTATTACACGTATGTATACATGTATAATACATGTAATATTTACACGTATGTATACATGTATAATACATGTATTCTTACAAAAACGCTATCTGTATAGAAAATAAAATGCTATCCCTGTTGGCCAACTCCCCTCGAGGTACATCAATTATTACATATCAAGAATGCTATTATAAATAAATAAAACTGCTATAAGAAACATATATAAATAGCTTATACCCGACGCTATTGAAAATTTACTTATAGCAGAAATGAAAGCGCTATATTACTTACGGTTTCTATAGCACTAGCAAAAAACGCTATATAAAGTGTGGGACCTACTATAACGGGCGCAGACATAGCGCTTTCTACAATGCTATTTCAGGATACAATAGCGATTTTGCTAAGCTATTAAAACCCTCATTTCCTGTAGTGAAGGAATTTAAAAAACGGGTCGGATATCCGATTAACCCAGAAGCATTTTTACCCACCCGTCACCAAAGTATTGCAAAAATACTAGTATAGATGTGGCAACGGATCATAATAATTTTCAAAACAATTTTGTGATATTTAATTTTTAAAAAATAATTAATTGGAGAAAATATGTGATGTTAATTTATGGTATATATTTTTAAAAAATAAAGAGTATGAGTAAGTTATAATAATCCGACTTACTATATGGTTTCATGATCAAATTTACGATTATTTTTTTTCGATTTTTTTTTGTATAAATGTAAAATTGTATTCATAAAAAAACATTTGTACAATGAAATGCGACTTAAAGTAGAAAAATGCCTGAGAAATTCTGAAATAAGAAAACTACAACATCTTGATGGATTTACGATTATTTCTTATATGAATGCAATTGTATATTAATTTGTGTTAAATGAACTAATCTGTCCATTTAATTTTCATCTCACATCCGATTAAGATATCTTTTGCTTTGACGGATGTTATTTGTGGGTTTTATAGATTATTTGTATCATCTTAAAATAGAAAAAGATACCGTAGCTTAATACGATAAGTCTTAAATTTATACGATAACCTAATTTTCACAAAATTTTGAGGTTTTGGTGCTTTTTTGTTTTTTTTTTGGTCAAAGCGCCTAGCTCAAACTCCATTAAAGGAGCAAACATTAAAAGATACTCCCTCCGTTTCGTTTTAGTTGTCGTTTAAAGTTTTCTCACACAAATTAAGAAAAACATTAAATTTTATGTTTTACCCTTTATTAATATATCTTATAAATTTTTTCATTGGTCAAAACATTAAAACAATAGGGATAATACTGGAATTTTTACCAAACATTTGCATTGAAAACCTAAAACGACAACTATTACGAAACAAAATTTAAGTCTTAAAACGACAACTAAAACGAAACGGAGGGAGTAATTTAAAAGAACATAATTCACTAGGAATCAGTGAAAACATTGGCAACACGCTACACATGATGATAGGAAACAAAAATAAAGCGAAGCAAAATAGAACTAATGTCCAAAATATGTCCATGAAATTCATTTTGCTTCACCTACAGAGTTCAGAAGAAGAACGAGTTCTTGACAATCTGAGACACAAGCCATCCTTAATAAACTCAAAGCTTTGGGTGAGAAATGTCTTCAAAGCAATTACCTCCGCAACTAAGGCAGAGGAAACGTAGAATCGAAAAGAGGATCTTTCATAGATTCGTTCATCTTGCAGTGAATGAGCATGCTAAGCTCCGCTTAACGAAAGCTTAAAAACTTCCTTACAATTCATAGAAGGTAAGGTAAGAGTTGCCAAATGATGCATTTGGGCTTCTTGCCCTTTTCTAGCATCAACAATAGCTATTAAGGCCGCCGGTTCCTCCATTGAGAATCCTCTGAAGAAAGAGCCCTCCCAAAGAATGAAAATCAAAGATGGTAGAATACACTCCATAAAGGAGGAGTTTAATGGAAATTGATACTCCATATAAGAAGAAAAATAATTCCACACCACATGAACGAAATCATTAGACGAACTTGGCAACATGAGGCTCTTACTCGCAAGCTTAAACTGAGTACTCATAATGGCCTCATACAGCCTCATACTGCGAATAAAATGTGTAATTATTTATAGGAAAATCTTCTATCCTTCTCTTATAAACTAGAGTTTATTTTGCATATAAGATATGATCTTCATGGTTTGTTTCATTGTTTGCATGTCATATTTTTCTTTATTTATCTCTTTGTGTCGCCTTCTTCTTTCTCATGTGCAAGCACTTGGGTTTCTTTGTCTCCGTACTCAACTTGTTCTGCCGTTACTTTACCATATTCCCTCAAGAGCCAAGCTTTTCCACGGTCGAACGGTCGTTTCCTGTTGATGCCAACTCTACCCATTTGAGACAGAACTTCCTCGAAAACACTAAATAGCACATGGGATGTGATTTGCAATCAACACCATAAGGAAGGTGATGGAGGAAGCATACCATGTTTATGAGATTGTGTAAAACCAACTCTGGATTTGTGCTTAGACGAGCTACATCGGCTGTGCTTTCCTGGTTTTCTGGCCCGAGTAGTATGATGTTGGCGTCTTCTGATCGGAACTGTTCGGTATTTTGGTGGTGAAACCGTTGATGGTTTGAGTGATGACGTCACTCGTTGTGGAGATTCTAATGGAACCTGCAAATTCGTGACCGTGTCGACTCTCAGGTTTTGGCTTCTAGCTCTTCCACAATCATCTTTGAAACTTCTTATTATCTCCACCAGACGATTCATTCTCTCTTCAAGACCCTTGAATATAGCCATCATATCAAACTTCACCTTTTTGATCTCATCCATCATATTGACCTTCATCTTCTTAAATTCATCAAGAACTTCATGGAAGAGCTCATCTTGCACTTCTCGGAGACTGGCCCCAAAATCATCAGTTATCTCCATGTTGCTTCCCATACTTTGATACCACCCCACAAAGTGGTCCGAATCAAAGGAACGATAGAACTGCTCTGATACCATATCGATAAATCCTAGTTTAGAACAATCAATGCTATCAAGAACAAAGACAAGAACACTTTGGTTCTCAAAAGATTTTAGAACAACTTACTGTAATTTCTCTCTTCATATTAGATTCTGCAATAAACGATGCTTAAATACACAAAGAAACAACTAACTACTAAGAAACGTGAAACGTAGGCAAGTTAACATTCCCACTAATTAAAATAACTAAAACTGATCTCTTGGCCACGTCATCTTCTTCCTCATTGTATCTCATCAAAATATGTATAAATAATTTTTAAATATTTATTTGCATTTCTAATTAAAGCTAGCAGATTTTATAAAGATACTAACATACATCTAGTCGACTTCATGAAATCCAGTAGATAGCTTACCATGAAAATCAAACATCAACAATGAACAACCATGATCAAATGTGACAATAATAGGGGTCAAAATTAATCTCGTATGTAATGATGTTAGATGTGCTAGAATCATGTGACGAATACTAAATCCAATATTAAAAAAATCCAACTACAGTAGAATGTTAGATCCTGCACTTTTTAAAAGATATATATTTTTGAAAACTAATATATAATCTATATTAAACTATATTTTATTTTGTATATAAAATAGCTTCTAGATAGATTTTTCACTTATCTTAATTTTTTTTTTAATCTTAAATTTTTGTTATTGTTAGACGGTGAGATCTTATTTTTTTTTATAGTACTTGTTAGGCATGGGCATTCGGATTTCAGATCGGATTCGAATCGGTTATATTCCGATTTGGATAATTTGGGTATGAGAGTTTATTATCCGTTTGGATTTTATGAGTTTTCGGTTTGGTTCCGGTTCAGATATATTCGGATTTGGATAATTTGGATAGGAGAGTTTATTATCCGTTCGGATTTTATGAGTCATCGGTTTGGTTTTGGTTCAGATAGGTGTCAGATTCGGATTGGTTTTTGGGAAAAAAAAACTAAATTGTTCAACTTAAATAAAAATTGGTTTAATCTTACTGAAATTTGGTTAAGTTTTGCAAAACATATGTATAAATATTAACAAATATAACAAAAATATTTCCGAAATTTAGGTTATTTAGGATATTTTTGTTATTTTCTATAAAATTACAACTAATATAACTAATCTTTTTGGTTTTCGGATATCCTTTTTGTTTTTGGTTCGGATCGAGTTTGGTTTGGGTAATTCGGATATGAGAATTCATTATCCGTAAGGATTTTTATGAAATTTCCATTTGGATTCGGTTCCAGATTTTTCGGATCGGTTTTTGAATTTCGGGTTTTATGCATAGCCCTAGTACTTGTGATTACATAAATTTTATCATTATATCTACCCTTTGAGTGTAATCAATCAAAAGCTAGTAAATATAATGTGATAAATAATTTTGATAAAGAAGAAAGAGCCAATCAATGACGGGATAAAAAGATACGTAATAAATCCTAAATCAAAATGATATGTATATATATAGATATATATATTAATATTTTTAATTCATAATGTTTTCATATTTGCATATTTTTAATAATAAAAAATTATGTCTTACGATATTAATATATTTTATATTGTAATGTATTCACACAGTTTAATATTCAGACCATTATTACATTTTCACTGTTTTTCACCACTACATAATTTATTACTCTAATCCACAATTAAATCATTTTTTGACAATAGAATTCATAGATTTTCAAATAGTTTGTTGTAAGAAAATATTTTGAAACTAAAATCATTTAGAAAATTATTAAAATTACATATTATTTAACTATTTTATAGACAAAACCATTTTGTGAGCAAAAAACAATAGAAAGACATGAATAAACTAGAAAATTAAAAGAAAATAATAATTAAATAGCATTTGCTGAAGTAAAGAGAGTTTTGGATAAGATATATTGAGTAAATGAAAACGGTAAGAAATCTTGTTGTCCAAAGATGTTGTGACACCTAATATGGCTGACACACTCTAAAAAAAGGTAATTAGGGTTTTGGACACCTTTTCTTCAGTGTACATATATATATATAGCAAAACATATCAGGTTCTATAGTCATCCTGGAAAGACACGAACGTAGCCGCCTAAACTTCTCTGACTCATTGTTGAAGATCGATGAAGCAGATCCGAAGACGATAATGGTGGTAATGAATATCTCATTTTACTCAGGCAAGACACTATTAAATTTTGATCAAATATCAGGTATAATTGTCTTAAATCATTTAACTTTTATTGATTTATTTATCAGATCTAGACCAAGCAATCAAACAAAAGCTAAAAGCATTCTGAATGGTTCTTACTGTCGATATGGTTAGCGAAATTAACGGTACATATTCGATTTAATTGGTTGATTATTACTTCTTTTTTTGTTTTATATGGTTAGCTGAATCACGAGTTTTGTTTGACACTAACCCGTTGAAGCCGCTTGGAGATCTGCTTGAACGTGAGGGCCTTTTGACACAAAGGTAATTTCTTGCTATAACTTTTTTTTTCATAGGAAAGGGACAAACATATACACTGATCGTTGTTAATTTGTTAAATAGTATTAGAATACAACAAGAGTTTAAGTCGGGTGAAGAGTATTGGGCGTTAGAAAGAAAGCTTTGTCTGTTTGTCATGCTCTTTCAATAAAAAAACTGGTTCCGTTTATTGTTATCAAACAATATATATGTGCTGTTTGGTTTTTTGCAATACATTTGCTCATGTGGTTTGCTCTGTATCTTTATAGATTGAAATGTATTTGATGTACTCTCTTAAACCATTTAACTTTAATTTTATTGATTTAGTTGTTAGACCAAGCAAACAAAAACTAAAAGAATTCTAACATGGTTAGGGAAACGATAGAGATTTCATTATTGTCGGTTGGTTTTTATTTTTGTTTTATATGTTTGTTTATATTTTTTATATTCAATATAATCGGTTGGTTTAATTTCAATATTCTCTTTAGATTTGTGATCAAAGTGGACAAACACTACGAGCTTTGTCGGGAAAACGTGAAAGAAGTAATACACTGTCGACGGTACGTCTTCCTTTTTTTTTTATTTTTTTTTATTTGAGACTATTAATTAGCATAATATCTTTCAAGTTGGTTAGATAGAAATTGATTAGATAAAAGTCTAATATTGTTTTGTTTTGTTTTCCTTTTTGATATGAGACTTATAATTGATTAGATAAAAATTCATGTCTTTCAAATGTTAAATTCATTAGTGATTCACATATGTGAGAACAATCTCAACGTAACTTTATGAATCAATATATAAAAACTCAATACAAATTTATGCCTAAACGGCATATTTATACAAAATCCAAAAACCCTAAAACTATCCTATAACAATGAATGGAATTATGATTCCATGAGAAAGGAATGTGGTTTCGGTCTGTGCTACTGAAACTTCAACTAAACCAGCGACTCACTGCTGAACAAGGGCATTAATGAGACTCATGTTCTATGTGATTAAGCATCAGTCAAGATATATTTTAGTCATTCCCGAATATGAAGATGGTTAAAGTCACTGTGAATTGTATAGCACTCCACCTCTAGGAGCAAAGAACTTCTCCTATCATCCTGTCTACTGCACGAGACGTTAAACTATGAAAGTTGAATCGAAGAAGATGAATTTCAGAAAGTAAACATCCAAACTCTTGAGAAGAACTATACTATATTTAACTCCTTATTATTTCTAGGTTTATGTCCCGATTAGGATATAAATTTCATGAACCGATTAGGAGATGAAAAAGATGCTGATGAAAACTAAGGGGAGGAGTAGTTCTCCGTTGTAGTGACCATTGCATAAGTAGAATAGTTTGGGTAATTTTTCTCTGAGATCTTACGATTCTATATGCGGTAATGTGTGATGTTTCCCGGAATGGAAGATTCTTCAGAGCCAATAATTAAAGGGAGAAGTATCTTTCTCACCGGAAAACATCATACGAGATAAAGGTGCCTTGTATCTACATCGAATATCCAAGGTGAACAAACCCGGTACAAGAACTAGAGTAACTATCGGGGAAGTGTGTTTCGAAACCATATTAGGAGTGAGAAAACGGGTCTCGAAACCACAGTTGGAGGGAATATTAAAACTTTGACAGAAGCATGCGGGCGGATCAAGTGTTACGGATTCCACGGTCGACTGCTATGAACAAGTGCTATTACGGAGTCCCTAAAGTTTGGAATTTCGAATTAGTATTTACTATTTCTTTAGCTTACATTGCATCTTAGAAGGTTAGCTGAAGAAGCTTCGTTCGAAAAGTTGGCTCGGAAGTGAAGAGGTTGAGTCTTTCTAGCTAGCCCCATGCCATGAGTTTATCAAGTTCAGCGAATATCAAATGGATAGACTAGATTTGGATTATCAAATGACAATGAGACATTATCATTATCCTCATCAACATCTTCAACCTCATAAAAAGTTTCAGAATAAAAAAAACTTTAGTCTCTTGAGGGTTGGGATAAATACGATCACAAAACAAGGTTCCAAATAGTTCCAGTTCAAATTAATTAGTACTAACTCTTCGAGCACAAGACATCCATATAGAAGCTTGTTAAACGTTTGTACAAAATCTCGACTTTGATGACTCTTTATATTTCCATCCTCCAATGACTTACAAAGAGAGGAGAAAGAGTTCTGAAAATTTTTATGCGTTCTGAAAATATCTTGGCTTTGAATGCAAAAGCTCAAGCTCCATTGAACAAATTCCACGTTAAACGTGAAGATGTTGTTGATCAATATTGGGTGTTTAAATGGATATCCAAAGTGTTGAAACGTGGTGCGTTAGATTTTGATGTTCGCATTAGAGGATGGAAATAGAAAGAGTCATCAAAGTCAAGATTTGGTATAAAAGTTTAACAAGCTTCTATCTAGATGTCATGGGTTCGAAGAGTTAGATTAATTTGAAGTGGAACTAGAACTATTTGGAACCTCAACCATGTTCCGTGATCGTGTTTTTCCAAGCCTCAAAAGGCTGAAGTTTTTTCGTTCTGAAACTATTTATGAGGTTGAAGATGTTGATGAGGCTAATGAGAATGTGTCATTGTCATTTCATAATTCAAATCTGGTCCACCTAGAATATTCTGATAGTAGGCTGATAAGTATCATCAAGTGAGTTTTGATTCGCTTGTTGAAGCTAGTCTCGGACTTTGAATGACACCTGATCAGATCATACATGTAACATGTTCAAAAGGACTTACTTTGGAACCCAAAGACAAGAATAGTTTGAAAACCCTTCTCATGGGAATATGCAATATTAAGATCCTCTACTTGTCTTGTGACACTCTTAAGGTCAGTCCCATCTTTTTTAATGAAAGTTGACAATTGACAACTAGTTAGTGATGATATAGTTAACTTGGTTTTTGTTTCAGGAACTTAATGACTACAGTGAAACAATACCGGTATTCAACAACCTGATGCAGTTAACTATTGTACCATGTGTAGAGTACGAATCACTGCGAGGTCTACTCAAGAATTGTCCAAATCTAGAAACCCTCGTCTTCGAAGTAGCATACACATTCTTCACATTAACAACTAACATGCTTTTACACAAAAATAATTTTTGAAACGGTCTCTTTCTATGTTTTAGGGACTGCATCACGAATCTACTAAAAGATGTGATGACGAGGATAAGTGCTTGTGCGAATATACGGATGACTGTGGAGGAGAAGATCGAGCAGGTCAAGCACTTCCTAAAGATCATGTCGAATCTTGAACAAATGATATTGTGGTACGTCTACACCAGATGATACCATTAGAAGTTACTTTTATTCGCCCATGAATTAAAACTCATTCTTAAACTCATGAAAAGCCTCATTTAGTCTGGATGACACAAGTGTTTTTAGGAGAAACAAATGTTTATGCAAAACTTGAAACATAGAAAATGAAACAAACGTGGAAAAATCATCTCATTTTCAGATTAAATAAAAAAGTTTTAATGTATGTGAAGTCAAGTAATCAAGTTGTGATTGTAAATTAGTGTTACAAGTCACTCCATATATAAAACATAAAGCTCCAACGACTTAATGAGGGCAACTACGAGAAAAACACAAGTATCGTGGAACTTAGTTAGTTCTTTTACTTCAGAAGGGACACCATGTGGTTAGGACGCCGCTCAAATGCTTTTTTGGAGAAGCACACAAAGAAAAGGACAAGCACTAACATATATTTGCCTAACGACAACATTTCGTTGAAGTAGCTGAATGAGGTGATGGAGCAAGTTCAGGAGGGCCGTTAAAAAGAAGGACAAGCACTAACATATGACAATAAATTTTGAAATTATTGTGATGTTTGTGACATGTAAAAATTGTATATTTATTTAGTTCATACAATACGTTAATATTGTTATCCTATCAAGAACCCATAACATTCATTAATATGTTCACATGCATTCTTGTGATGAATAAAACCATACTACCATTTTTTAGTTTTTATGCTAATAGTTGGTTTTTGTTATTAAAAAAAACGACAGTATTTGTTTACATTTTAACACAATTGTTGACTATTGTGATCATGTTACAAAAAGAAAAAAGATGGACTAAATAGAAGATGATCATTGAAAGGGAAGGAAATATACAGTTAAGACAGTCAATTCATTTGCTCCACATTATGAATTTAAGGTAATTAAGTCATCGGGTCCACTCACTATGTTTAAATATATGTATACATACCAAGTATATGAAGATTTTTAGCAAAAAAATGCAGATATATATATATATATATATATATATATTAATGTTTGTTCATATTACTAAAAGCAGAGTTTATGAAGATACATCTTGTAACGCCCCGACCGTCCCTACCAGTGGGCCCCACGTCCTCTCTCGGGCCCATGGGCCCTACATCTGTCTGACGGCTGGTGTGTTACGTCTAAGAGGCTTTAAAGACTTGTTTACCGACCCTACAAATCACCACATGATCTTTCCATGTGCTTTGTCCTCACTCACAAAGTTTCGACAATTACTTCCCGGAAGGTCACCCATCCTGAAATTGCTCCAGCTCAAGCATGCTTAACTGTGAAGTTCTCTCAGGACTGTTGACCAAAAAGATAAGTGCACTTTGGTGACATAGGTGGTCAAATCAATTCTCTTAAACCTCTTTGCATGCACCACTATATTTCTGAAATCGGGGTGTTACAATTCACCCCCACTAAGAGATTGTTACGTCCTCGTTGCGCACCAAGACCGTCCCTCCCCCCCTCCCCCGACGGTGTGAGCCCTTTTGACTCCACACTCGCCTGGATTCGGCTCTGATACCACTTATAACGCCCCGACCGCCCTACTAGTGAACACCCACGTCCTTTCTAGGGTCCATGGGCCCCACTCCTATCCGACGGTCGGTGCGCTACGTCCAAGAGGCTTGAAAGACTTGTTTACCGACCTTACAATTTACCACATGATCTTTTCATGTGTTTCATCCTCACTCACACAGTTCCGACAATCACTTTCCGGAAGGTCACCCATCCTGAAATTGCTTCAGCTCAAGCACGCTTAAGTGTGGAGTTCTCTCAGGACGTTTGACCGAAAAGATAAGTGCACTTTGGTAACATAGGTGGCCAAATCAATTCTTTTAAACCTCTCCGCATGCACCACCATATTCCTGAAATCAGAGTGTTACAAAAATAGCCCCCCAAAAGGTTTGTTTTTCCAAAAGTAGCACAACATTTCTAAAATTCCATAAATAGCACCTTAAACTTTAATTAAAATAGAAAATAAGAGCAAACACTAAAGTAATATTAACTTAAATCAAAATTTCTTTTAAATGGTGGAAATATATACCCTAAATTGGAAATAGGGAACCCAAACAAAATAACACCAATTCAATATCTCTTTTAAATGGTGTAAATACATACCCTAAATTGGAAATAAAGAACCCATATATAATGTTTTAAATTTATTTCTAATTTATTTTGGTTGAATAGTTTTTATATAAAAATTGTGGTATTATTGCAAAAATAAACTAGTGATAATAATTTTAGAACAGAACTTAGTGTTACTCTCTTTCACAACGGAGTTTATTTTTGTATCACAGTTAATTCATACATTGTCAAATAGTATGTTATATATAGAAAGAAATATTTTAAAATTAAAATAGTCTTGGAAAATTATTAGAAAGTAAATTTTATTTATTTATTTTGAAAAATTAAATCAATATATCACATTTGTTGAAATAAAGAGTTCAGATTGACAAAATGATAAAATTTTAGATTATTTATTGTCCAAAAAAGTACAATTAGGGTTTACACCTTTTATTTCTTCTGTATACATATATTGAGCATTAAGAACCTATCACCTTATAAGCTATTTACAACTCTAGTCGATGCTGAATATATTTGTGAATTCATTATATTGTGTGCGTTTTCTTTGTCATAGGAGGAGAACATACTCGAATTCCAGACTCAAATGCTAGATTGTGAAATTATTGTGATGTTTGTAACATGTAAAAATTGAATATTTTTTTAGTTCTTTGTTATTACACTACGTTAAAACCATGAAGACTAGCACTAATATTGTTATACTATCGAGAAATCCATAATATTTACTAATATGTTCACATTCTTGTGATGGATAAAACCATCATACCATTTATTAATAATATTATGCTAATAGTTGGTTTTTGTTATTTAAGAAAAAAAAACAACAGTATATGTTTACATTTGACAAAATTATTGACTATTGTGATCATGTTACAAAAAGAAAGGAGATTCGCTAAAAAAGAAGATGATCACGAAATATACAACTGTCAATTCATTTTGTCAATTTAAGGTAATTAAGTCCTCGAGTCCACTAACTATATTTAAATATATATACATACCAAATATATAAAGATTTTTTAACAAAAAAATCGTAGATACTAAGATTTACTAAAAGCATTGTTGATGAAGATGCTAAGATACATCTACTTGACTTCATGAAACCCAGTAGATAGCTTCTATGAAAATAAAACATCATCATTGAACCAGCATGAACCATTAATATATATATATATATATATTTATTTATTATGAAAACAATACAGATAGAAATTAATATAGTATATATTAATGTTAGTGCAAGATTCAAGATGAATAATGAAACTAATATTTTTTTTTATCTAAAAAATTCTAACCGCAGTGGAACGTTGGATATTTAATTTTTAAAATATAGATTTTCTTTTGAAAACTAAAATAAAAATCTATAATAATATATATTATATTGTACATATAAGATATAATATAGCTTCAAGACATATTTTCAATATTTTCAGTTATCTTCAAATTTTGTGATTTTAGAAGGCGATATTTATACTCTTATATAGTATGTGAGGGCATAAATTAAATCACTGCAGTTAAGGATTTACTATATGTGTTCTGCTTGCATGTAATCAATCAAAAATAGTACGAAAAAGTAATAAATAATTTTGTCATAGAAAACGGCTGCAATCAATGACGAGATTAAACAATACAAATGAACCCTAAACCAAAGTGATGTATGTGCTATTTTTAATTTATAATTATTATTTTTTGTCAACCATACATTAACTAAAAATTTACATGGTAGCCTAATCTGAAAGAAAAAAATCTATAAATACAATATCAGAAAATAACAATCTAGAGGATCGAGATAAATAATCTACTTTAAAACAACAAGAACATAAAATATGAGATAGTGAGGAAGAGGGCAAGAAAACTCAAAGCAAACCAATCTTATGGTTCACCGTAACGTATATATGGCTATGTTGTTGCTTATTTATTGATTTTGCGCATTGGTCATGGGATTGTTGTTGCTTATGTACTCCTATGAAATTAAAGTCCCATTCTTTCATTTATGCTTGGCTAGAACATTTCCCGAGAATAGACTCTTTCGTTAACACTTGTAAATTCCTACTCTTCCATAGTCTCCCAAGGATCCATAGTGCTAATTTTTGGAATTGCGGTTGAGCTTGATTGCTAAGATTTCTTCGACATCTTCCTTTGCAACTGCTTATCTAATTTTTGTTTCGTTCCAGCTGTTTCCTGTGGCATTCACCACATAATTTCCAACAGTTGGATTACGAGGTCGTCGCAGTTTTGGTGGATGTGAAGGCAACCAGGGATCGGACCAAGCGTTGGCGTTGATCATCGACTGTCTCCAATAGTGAATCACAGACCTTGTCTTGGCAAATCTCGACTTTGTAACAGTAATCTCTAAGCGTATGAAGTCTTCTTCTTTAGGGTAGCATTTAACACACAATCTGGATTTTGTAGAATTCACCACTAGAAAATTTATTAATCTATTTCACAACTTAATTTTTTTTTGGTATCAGAGTTAATTCATACATATCCATATAGTTTGTATAGAAAAATATATTTTAAAACTAAAATAGTGTTGGAAAATTATAAATAGTAAATTTTATTTCTTTATATTAAATAATTAAATTAATATATTACATTTGTTGAAATGAAGAGAGTTTAGATTGACTAAAAGATAAGATTTTAGATTATTTGTTGTCCAAACACGTTGTGACACCTGCCCACTCTGACAAAAAGGGTAATTAGGGTTTACACCTTTTATTTCTTCTGTATACATATATATATATTAAAGCATAGCAAGTCTTAGAGAACCTTTTCAAAAGACAAGAACCTAGCCGCCCCCATAGAGGCAAAAACTTCTCTGATCCATTGTTGAAGATCGATGAAGCAGAATCCAAGTGCTAGGAGATATAGCGTAAACCAAATACCCAGATGCACTCTTGTAGCTCTCGTTGTAATCGGCAGTGTGGCAACGTTAGATCTGCCTTTGTACGGGAAGAAGGAATCAATTTCAGGTAAGACAATATCAAATTTCGATCCAATATAATATATACTTGTCTTAAACTGTTGGTTTTTATTCTTTGTTTTATGTGTTTTTATTTTTAATAGATATGTTGTTAATTACTGTATAGATCTTTTAGGAAAGTACACATACACAACGAGCTTTGTCGGGAAAAATTGACATAAGTCATGCACGGATGCATTGTGTCAACGGTACGGTACGTCTTGTCTTTTTTTTTGTTTTGTTGTTTTTTTTTATTTTTGTTTTGTTTATTTGAGACTTTTTATTAGCATAACATTAGCTCAAATGGGTTATATAGAACTTTTTTGTTTTTTTTTGTTTTGTTGATATAGGACCTCTATTGATTTGATAAAAATTCATGTCCTTTAAATGTTAGTTTGATTTCTAAAAGTGATTATGACAACAATCTCAACTTTATTAATTAATTAGATTAGATGTGTGTTAATTATACACGGGTTAATCGATAAATGATTATTTTATAAAAAAGTAGTAATTTTTTGCCACTGTACAAATATCATATTGAATTTCAATTGAACCAACTGTAAATCTTATCATATATTTGGGTTTGAAACCCCCAATTATGTTTTTTTGTTTCTTTTAAATTGTATAAAGATTATTAGTTGATTATATATATAAAGATTTCGTAATTTAAAATTTAAAATTTTTATTTTAAAACTTAACCAACGATAAGTCAAAATACATTTGTTAGTTTAATGTTGTAACTCTCATCTCAATTTATATACTCTATCTAAATATCCCTAAAGCACCTATACATTTTAAAAAAAAATCTCTACTAAACTACTATACTATACTATGTAAGCTAAACTTTGGATTCATTAACTTGTCTTAAATGTCTTACTCAAATATGACGACTACAATTAATGCACCATTCATGTTGATACTACATATTTTAATTTACGTAGATATGTATTTCAATATCATTTGTTTTGTTTCTGTTAAAAAAAATAAAAGGATAAACATATTTCAGTTTCAAAACTGAAAAATATTAAAACACGTATTAAAATCTAATTAATTAATTGAAATTTGTCATATTCGTGAAATACAGTTTTGCAATATGACAAGCTATATTAAGAGTGCTGAAACTTTAAGTAATAAGATTAGTAAAATTTTATTTCTTTTTTCGGGTAGGATAAGATATCATAACTCACCTTTATCTAATAAGATATCATAACTCAATAAAATTCCATACAACTTTAGGCCTATATGGCTTATTAATAACAGTGAAACTTTAACTAAACCTGGAAGTCAATACAATTTGACGCACGAGTTTGCATCAGGGAAGAGATTTTAGTCATTCAAGAACATGAAGATGGTCCACTGGTTTTGCATGCATGGTTTAGGTTTTAAGGAGCCACATGGATTGCATGTCATTGTGAATTGTATAGCACCCCAACTCAAGGAGCAAAGGACTTCTCCTATCATCTACGAGATGAGACGTAAAATTATGATGTTTGAAAGGAAGGAGATGAATCTCAAGAAGTGAGCTTCCAAACTTTTGAGAAGGAGTAAATGTAATTAACTCCTTATTATTTCTAGGTTCATGTCCCTACGCTGAGGACAGAAATTTGCATCAACTAATTAGGAGCTGATGATGAAAACTAAGAGGAGTTCTCCATTGTACATTTTACTTGGATGGGTATGTATTTTCATTCCTATCTTTTTTTCTTCTCAGATATTTGTTATATAGAGAGAAGCATCTTAAGACTTAGCACTTAAACTACTTCTCCGATCCAAGACTAAAGAAACACAAAAACCATAAGCTACTTAACTAGCAAGTTACACCATATCATTTGTCTAAGAAACAAATCACTCATTGGTGGTTTTGCTGATGAGAGACTAGTGGGTGTGAGGGATCACACCTCCTCCAGCAATTGTTTCTTTGATGAGTGTGTCAAGCTCCTCATCTCCTCTGATCGCCAACTGCAAATGCCATGGAGTTATCCTCTTCACTTTTAGATCTTTGCTCGCGTTTCCAGCCAACTCAAGAACCTTTGTAGTTAGGTATTCAAGGATTGAAGCCGTGTAGACATCAGCAGTGGCACCAACTCTACCATGTGCAGAAACTATGGTCTTGAGTTGCCTGTGAATACGACCCACTGGAAACTAAAATAAACAAAGAAACAGTATCAGTGTGAAATTTCATAAAATTAGAGTACAAAGAGACATGAAATTTCTTTGTTTACTTCAGTTTTTGATGGGTCGTATTCACATGCAACTCAGGACCAGAGTATCTACACATGGTCGACTTGGTGCTACTGTTGCTTTCTACACGGCTTCAATCCTAGAGTGTCTAACTGCATAGGTTCTTGTGTTAGCTGGAAACGCGAGCAAAGATCTGAAAGTGAAGATGATTACTCCAAGACATTTGCATTTGGCGATCACATGAGATAAGGAGCTTGACACAATCATCAAATGAACAATTGGTGGATGAGGTGTTGTCCCTAACATCCACAAGTATCTCATCAACAAAACCAGAAAGAAGTGATTTGTTTCTTAAGTTAAATGATATGATGATGTTATTTTCTAGTTAAGTAGCTTATGGTGTTTGTGTTTTTTCGTCTTGTTGAAGATGCAGCAAAATCCGAAGGCCAGAATGGTGGAAATGAAGATCTCATTTTACTAGCTCATTAGGATTTAACCCGAGATACTCCGCGGGATTATATTTTATTTCTTTACTTAGCAACATTGAAATTTTTTAAAATTTTTAGCATTAAAATTATATGACATAAATTTTTGATGTTTTTAGATTTACTTCGTAGAATGTAATTTAGTATCGTAGTATTGCAATTACACATTTAGAGGTGTCAAAGGAGATTAACACTTATTTTTAAATCATAGGCAACTTAACTAACAAATCACATCATATCATTTGACTTTAGAAACAAATCACTCCTTGGTGGGTTTGTTGATGAGACATGTGGATGTGAGGCAGTACACCTCCTCCAGCAATTGTTCCTTTGATGAGTGTCACAAGCTCCTCATCTCCTCTAATCGCCAACTGCAAATGCCTTGGAGTAATCCTCTTCACTTTCAGATCTTTGCTCACATTTCCAGCTAACTCAAGAACTTCTGCAGTTAGCTATTCTAAGATTGAATCCGTGTAGACAGAAGCAGTGGCACCAACTTGACCATGTGCATAAACTCTGGTCTTGAGTTGCCTGTGAATACGACCTATTGGAAATTGAAATAAACAAAGAAACAATATCAGTTTATAATTTCATAAAATTAAGACTGCAAAAAAAAATGAAATTTCTTTAGCAATAGATATGTGACATTTCATAAACTATGCAAAGAAATCTCTTTTTTTTTTGCAGTCTATTTTGAATATGACTTCAGAAGTTTGCAGTTTAAGAAGATATATCTTTGTAGAAAGATTAGACTAATTTTTAACTAAATATGATAAAAAAAAAAACTAATTTCTTAAAACATCTATGTCTTAAACAAAACTTTTTTTTGTTAGAATGAGTATCTTCGTAGAATTAATTACAAATCAAAAAACAATAATTATATCTAGAAAAAAAAACACAAAAGGGTAAAAGCCCAATCATTGCATCGATCCTCGTGCCTCTCTCTCCCTTGAAGGCGATTCTCATATCGATCCTCGTGCCTCTCTCCCCCTTGAAGGCGATTCTCATATCTACCTTTTCCGCTTCTGTTTGATCTTCATCGAAGGTTTTTGTCTTCTTGTTTGTGATCCAGGATGGAACAAAATCCCAAGGAAGAAAACTGGCGGATCTAGTGTGTCGGAGGAAAGAGATCGTTGTCAGAAAACCAGACTCTTCCAGCAATGGTTTTCGATTTTCCGAGGCAACTAATAAGCTGGGTATATTGAGTCTGCCGAATCTAAGGCTCTGATCACCTTGCCATCGACCATCAACATGGTCCGATCCATTTTTACAATTCCAGAATCGTAGATACCCAGCTTCTCGGTTGCCTCGAAAAATTGAAAACCACCGCTGGAAGAGTCCGGCTTTTTGATTGCGATTGCTTTCCTCCGACGCACCATATCAGCGAGTTTTAATCCTTGGGCTTTTGTTCTATCCTGGATCACAAACAAGAAGACACAAACCTTCGATGGAGATCAAATAGAGGCGGAAACGATAGATCTGAGAATCACCTTCAAGGGAGAGAGGGGCGTGAGGATCGATGCAACAATTGGGCTTTTACCCTTTTTGTTTTGTTTTCTAGATATAATTATTGTTTTTTATTTGTAATTAGTTCTACAAAGATATAAATTATAACAAAAAAGGTTTGTTTAAGACATAAAAGTTTTAAGAAATGAATTTGTTTTTATCATATTTAATTAAAAATTAGTCAAATCTTTCTATAAAGATATATCTTCTTAAAATGCAAACTTCTGTCATATTCAAAATTTACGGACCGCACAAATGCCTTGTTGGAGAAGCCAGAAAAAGGAAATATACGGACTAACAAAATTCATTTTCTTCTTAAAGTATGTAACCATATAGTAATGGGGAGGTTATTATGGCCTTGTTCTCTTTATGTTTTTTTTTATAAAAATGATCACTAGTATATTAATTTCTTCGGACTTAATCCGATTTTGGTGGTTTAGGTTTGATATAAATATTTGATTAGGTTATGGCGAAGAAAGATCAAAATCTCTTCTTCTTTTATTTTTTATTTTTTATGGTAACCAAAATCTCTTGTTTCTAAGAGAGTAGTGCATTACTCACGCAGAGACAAGCTACTGTTCTAATATTATCTGGTTCTTATACGAAAGATATAAACATTTAAACCAACAAATGTTAATGATCGAAAACACTATAATGTGATGTGGCGACGGATCATCATAATTTTTAAAACAATTTGTGATATTTAATTTTAATAAAATAATTAATTGGAAATATTATGTGAGGTTAATTCATGTTGTAGATTTTAAAAGAAACAAAGAGTGTGAGTTACTCATAATAATCCGACTTACTATATGGTTTCATGATCAAATTTATGATTATATCTTATATAAATGCAACTGTATGAATATGAGTGTTAAATTAACTAATTATATCGGATGAAGATATATTTTTGCTTTAACGGACGTTGTTTGTGGGGTTTGTAGATAATATGTACCCTTTTAAAATATAAAAATATATCATACCTTAATACGATAAGTGTTAAATTCTTACGATAACCTAATTTTTTCACAAAATTTTGAGGGTTTGGTCTTTTTTATTGGTCAAAGCGCCTCAAACTCCATTGAATGAGCAAGCATTACAAAATAAATTAAAAGAACAGAATCCACCAAGGAATCCGTTAAAATATTGGCAACACGCGATACATGATGGTTGGAAACTGAAATAAAGCGATGCAAAATGGAACTAATGTCCCAAACATGTCCATGATACACATGCCAGCCGTGATACACGCCCAAAATTGTGGCTGAGAACAGTCTTCAAAGCAATTACCTCTGCATTAGGCAGAGGAAACGTTGAGTCAAAAAGGGGATCCTTGAGAGATCCGTTCATCTTGCGGTGAATGAGCATGCCAAGCTCTGCTTAACCAACACCCACTTTCTAATGTTGTCGAAAAAATGTAATTATTTATAGGAAAATCTTATACCCTTCTCTTATAAACTAGAGTTTATTTTGCATATAAGATATAATATAGCTTCTCGATAGATTTTTAAAATTTTCAGTTTTGTTTTACTATTGTGATTGTTAGAGGGTGAGATCTTAACTTGTTAACTATGTGATTGCATAAATGTTTCATTATGTATACCGTTTGTGTGTAATGAGTCAAAAGATAGTAGGAGATGTGATAATTTCGACATAGAAGAAGGCTCTAATCAATGACGGGATAAAACGATACCTTTTTTTTTTGAGCAACTTTCGGAATACGGGATAAAACGATACCTATGAACATAAAACCAAAGTAAAACATTTAATATTTTTAATTCATACCTTTTTTATATTTCAAAAGATGGGGAAGTGGTAGATGAAGTGGAAGAGGAACTGGCGATAGCTAAATGATGTGGAAGTGCAAAGGAGAAATTGATTCACTCAATTGATTTTCGGCAAGTAGAAGATAATCGATTTTTCATACTCTCTCTTTTGATTCTCTCCTTTTCACCTAGTTAAGGAGCAGCCACCAAAATTCTTTTAGTTCACAGATAAAAATAAGTCAAAAAATTTTACACCAAAAAGTTGGCTGCCATGAAAAATAGAGGCAGGCACTAAATAATATTTAGGGTTAACTCTATGATAACGTTTTAAAAATTGTATATGCTATTACAGACAATGTTAAAAACCTAAAGAATTAAAAATATAAGCGGAAGTACAATATTTTCACGAACCCAATATATCATAGCGTTTGTCTATTTAGAAACGCTATAAAAAAATTAGGAATAAGTCAACAATAGCAAAACACACATAAACGCTATCTTGTAATGCTATTAAAGCTCAATATTCTTGTAGTGTCAAACCATTAATGCATCAGACTCCAAAATTAATTTTAAGCTTTCGGCACTTATATTTGCATTGTTTTCAACACTATAAACTTTATTACTCTATTTCACAATTGAATCCTTTTTACAAAATATAATTCACACATTTTCAAATTTTTGTTATAGAAGAAAATATTTTGAAACTAAAATTATATAGAAAATTAATAAAAAGAATTTTATAGACAAAACCAGTTTGTGAGCAAAACAAAAAAAAAGAGACAAAAACCATCCAAAATACTAAAAAAAAACGAAAAATCAAAAAAATTAGATTATTATATACTCCCTCTAATTCTAAATAATAGATTTTCTAGAAAAAAAATTGTTTCAAAAGATATTGTTTTAGCCTTTTAGGTTTTCTATGCAATATTCATTAGTTATTATTGATGAATTGTAAACTTCAAGAAAAAATAATTGAATATCATTGGTTTAGAATTATAGAAAATTGTAAATCACAAAAAATGATACATTTCTAATCAAGTTTTAATATGTGTAAAAACTCTAAAAAATCAATTATCTTGAAACAGAGGGAGTAGTATTTTTCTTAGAAATTTTTGGGATTTTCTTAAAATCACCTGTTATTCAAATTGTGATTTTAAAATCTCTTTCCAAATCCTATGTTATTCAATGAAAGATTTAGAAAAACCATATCAAATTCACTGTTATTAGGTTTCATACTTAATATTATACGTCTCTTTGTTTTACTAACATTTTTGAGGATTCTCGTCCCTTATCATAAGCTACTATAGGTATATATATATGAATACACGTGACCTAACTTAATTAGGTTAGCTTTAATAATAATGACATTCATTATTATACACATTACCTAAGTTGGATTATGGACTTACGAAAGACACATACCTAACATAATTAGGTAAGTCCTTTTAATAATAATGACATTCATTATTAATCTAAAGTAAGTTATAATTCTTCTCACGCGTGCATATATATATACACATATTCTATCATATATAATATTAAGTATGAAACCTAATGTATTATTGATTCAGTTTGCTTAGGTGTGTGACCCTGTAGGATCATATAATATTAGCAATAGATTCTCAATCCATAGATCATAAGCGGTTTTTAGCAAAACATTATAACCACCTAATATTATATGATTGTCAAAACCTCAACGTTATGACTCTAACAAGAGTAAGTACAAATGATTTCAGGACATTCCCAACAATCTCCCACTTGTACTGGAATCATTTATTCCCACAATCCTTTCGTCTCTATATCTCGATCTTAGCATAAGGCAAGAAACAGTGTCATCCTTATTAAGCTAGATCATATTTATCGAACTCTAATTTATACTGATAAAACAAACGATTGACATTTCACCTCGTTTGAGCATGGCCATGCATTTCTCAGTATCAAATCTTCGATAGGCCCAGAGATATTTATCTCCTGTTATATAGGAGGGACAAATCCCATCTTGTTCCATCCATGTTCCTTACACAATTCATAATACGCCCAATCACTGTCTTTATAATCATCTGTTACGGCTGACGTTTGACAGAGTCAAAGCGGACCAATCCATGTACATGAAAACATGACAAACTCAGGTCAAAGGACTATACTCTATAGTTGTGATGAGAAACTCATATGACACTCATATAACATTCCTGTAGAGTTCTCATAGCGGGTCAGTCAAATACTGTGTTCTCTAACACATATTTATGTGATTAACTTTAATACTGCATATTAATGACTCCACGAAACTTGGTCATCAGTCACCTCACATACTAGTCATTTATAGTTATTAACGTCCCATTTTAATAACATTGACTAGGGACATCAATAATTTATTTCATCTCCCACTCATAGGGTTTCATGATCAAGTCACGTACTTGATGACCTATAAGAATGATATAAATTATTTTGTGACAATTATTTAATTATCAAATAACCAAATAATATTGAAACAAATTTCATTAATTTGAAAATAAAATCAAATGTATACATGAACATCACATCATAAAAGACAAATCTCCCACTAGAATCAAGATCACATCTTAAGATATCTAATGCCTACAATAGAAGTATGACTCTCATGCTTAGGCCGTGGAAGAGGCTTGGTTAAAGGATCAGCAACATTTGCATCCGTTGAAACTCTGCTAATCTTCACATCTCCTCTATCCACAATATCACGAATGAGGTGATATCGTCTTAGAATGTGTTTGGATTTCTGGTGTGATATGGGTTCCTTCGCCTGAGCGATGGCTCTATTGTTGTCACAATAAAGATCCACCGGACCAGAAATGCTAGGAACCACACCAAGTTCAACAATGAACTTCCTAATCCAAACCGCTTCTTTCGCTGCTTCAGAAGCAGCAATATATTCAGCTTCGGTTGTTGAGTCTGCCACGGTGCTTTGCTTAGAGCTTTTCCAACTCACCGCTCCTCCATTAAGACAAAAGATAAATCCAGATTGAGATCGGAAATCATCTTTGTCTGTTTGAAAGCGGGCATCAGTGTAACCACTCACAACAAGCTCATCACTTCCTCCATAGACCAAAAACTTATCCTTAGTTTTTCTCAAA